AAATTATGGGGTTTCGAACAATTTAAGCCTTAGAGCCTGTTTGACAATCATTATTGTAGAAAAAAAAGTTTTAAATAGTAATTTAAAAAAAATTTGTAATTAAAAAGTATGGAAAGTTTTTGACATACGTGTAAAATATCGTATCATGTGAATGTGTGGTATTTTATGATTCTGTAACAAATCATAAAATAAAGTAATAAATGTCAAACTGACACGTATTTATAGAGATGAGAAAATAGGGAAAATTTCTTAATTAATTTTTCTCTTTTTACCTTGGACATTCTTTAACAATTCAAATTTGCTTGTCTAGTTTAAAAATGAAAATTTCTTTTCCATTCTAACATTTACTTATGAGTAATGCTGTTTAGTCCTATTGTAATTACAACATCCATTTAATTCCACATTTCATTTAACTCATCATCTAACACTACCTAAGTTGAAGTTGCAACCCCAATGAAACGACGTAGCATTACTCTTTACTTAAAAACATGTAAGGTTATGGAAAAGATAGTAGATCGATATGCATGTTGAATTGTTGATCAAGGCAACCCAATTTGGCCCGTCACACCATGCAAGCCACCCAAGAAGTAAGCTATTACAGTGAACGCTAATAGCATTATGGAGCTGCCAAAAATAATCTCAACGATTGGATCACCAGCTTGTTTATTACTTGTGTCAACTAATAAACAGGTTGGTGATCCAATGTTAAAAAATTGAATGCTCAGATTTAGACGGTGTTTGGTGGGGATTAAAATTAGATTTTTTGTAGATTGTGATAGAAATTTTTGAAATGTGTGGTTGAAAAGTTGTGGGATCCATAAAAGATGTGGTTAATATTGATTGTTTGACTTTGACTTAAATTAAAATCAGATTTTAATTCGGCCCAAATTGGCCTTCAGTTACTTTCCATTATCTGAATACACTATGTTTTATAGTTAAAATGGTGCTTTGGTTGAGATTAAAATTAAAGTTTTAGTAGATTGTGATAAAAGTTTTTGAAATGTGTGGTTGAAAAGTTGTGGGACCCATGAAAGATGTGGTTAATATTGATTATTTGACTTTGACTTGAATTAAAATCAGATTTTAATTCGAACCAAACAGGGGCTTATTACTGTCCTATCATTTGCTGGCCATTTTGTAGCTTCTTTCTTTTGACAGTTTTGCTTCCTAGTTTCGACGTGGAATTGTTTTAACATTTCAAATGGAACACCTTTAAGCCTTTTAACAACTTTGGGAATACTTGGGATGAAGTGCTATTTTTATTTGAAAAGGTGAATGAGAAATTTTGTTCGTCAAATTAAATATGACTTTGAAAAGTAACTTTTAAGTTTTTAATTAAAAAAATGAAATCTAAACAAAGGTTAAAATGCTATAAATTATATGTTGAAACTTTAACTATAGTCTCATTTTTGTGGAGATTAAAAATGGACACAATGAAAATTACGAGTAGTCAAGTTTAAAAGCCTTTTATCTACGTGTATTAATTAAGATTAAAAAATTAACTTATTTTGACTCTCGATCCTTTGCTTTTTTGGAATCGATGTCCTGATCGATTTTCAAAACATTGTATAAAAGTAACATTTTTTGCTTATCCATACCATTTCGCTTTCGTCGCTAGTCTTATAAATAACGCGGTTACACAACTCAAACAACGTTGTTAACTTGAGCGAATATCCATCTTTGTGACTAATTATTCGAGTTATACTATTTTACCAACAAAATGAAGATGATAGTTGTTGATCCCTACAAAGAAGAACGCAGAGAAAGATGATCCTCTTCACCCACTGAAATCTTCATCCTTTTATCTTCTTCTTCGTTCCCAGGAATTATTGCATTAAACAACGTTAAATTTCGTGCATGATTGTCAAATTTCATCTGCATAATTACGTTCATTCCACCCTCTTTCAGTTTATACTTTGCAGCCCATCTTTGTATCTTCCCAGAAGTAGTTTTCGGGAGATGACTAGATTTCACAAGAACCACCAAACCCACTTCAATTTGCTCTTCCTCGATCACAGATTTTCTTATTTCTTCACAAATTTTCCGGGAAAAATCTGCGTCGGATTGAGTTTTCTGCAACTCTGCAACAATGACTATTGTTGTTGAAACCTGGAATGCTGCAAGACAGCCAGGTCGGAGGAGATTCGGACTTGAATTATAAGCTGTGGTTTCGACGTAATGAGGATGGATTTCTCGCCGATTCGAGAGTTTAATGATGTCGGAACATCGCCCTATAACGTATAAGTATCGATCTTGGCCTATGACAATTCCCCTATCTCCTGTTCGAACGAAGTTCCCAGTGAGTTTGTTTTTGATTCTGACATTGAATACTTCTCTTGTTAACGAAGGGTGGCTGAGGTATCCATTGGCATTGCTCGGTGATGAAATCCATATTTCTCCTTCAATTCCATCATCAACAAGCTCGTGAGTTTCTTCGTTCACGACTAAAATTTCGATGTCTTCTTCTTCGTATTGTCTTGAAGAAGCTTGCAGTCTTGCACTGGGCAAGAGCTTGTTGTAAATTGGGAAATTGCCATTATTTCCACTTCTCCATGCCGTGGACACGAAAGTACAGTTTTCGGCTAAGCCGTAGGATGGAGAGATGCACGCAGGATTAAGCCCGAAAGGCTTGAAAACTTCAATAAATTCTTCAATTGCAGCCTTGTAGATTGGTTCGTTGATGATAATCAGGTTCTTCATGCTCCAGAGACGTATAGGAATGATTCCGGTTTCGAAACCCCCACGCTTAACAACAAGTGGCAAAGTGAAGGACGGAACTGGTGTACAAGTTGCCTTATACTGTGTGATCAACTCGAGCCATAGCCTAGGCCGGTTTATGAACGCAGTAGGCGATGTTAACACGCATGTAGCACCTGATATTACGGTGAGTAACAGAAACATAAGCCCACAATCATGATACTGAGGCAACCAAGAGACTATTACACTATTTGGATGAAGATCGTAGGCTTTTCTAGCTGTTCTAACATTGTGGGCTGCTGCTCCTGCTGTCAAGAGAACCGGTTTAGGAATCCCGGTAGCACCAGAAGTGTACTGAATTAAGTACAAATCATCAGGCTTACAACCATTGTATGATGATAAATTCCGTTGAACGTTAACTTTCCCAGCCTTTATTTCCTCAATGGGAATCCATTGAAGCTTCTGTAAAAGCTCGGAAAGTCTCTTATTGGTCGAGGAAGATAGATACAGTCGAACATGATCAATATAACCCCGGAGGGCCAAGGCTGCTTTAGGCCTTGTCTGGGACAAAACCCTGACAAGGTGGTGGTAATTATCATTGGCAAAAGAAGGGTGTGGAGGGATTATAGGAACAGCCAAAAGGCCTGCTCTTTTACAGGCAAAGATTATCTCTACAAGGTCGAGCCCGGGTGCACATAAAATCACGACAGTGTCACCTCTTTGTAGCTGAAGTTGCTCGGAAATCGACTGTACTGTATTGTTCAGCTGCTCGTAAGTTAGAGACGACGAGCAACTGGACACTCCATCAGGGCTATCTTCGACCCAAATGAAGGCCGGCTTGTGCTTAAATGCCGGAAGTTTAGCCCACACCGGTAGGTATAAATCGACAACCGGCTGCTCAGGGAAACAAGGATCATAGTTTTCGTACTTCATGATTCTCTTCTTTGTTGATTCTCAAGTATTAAACAAGTATGCATGATACGTTAATATATAGTAGGCAAGATGAACATATTTTTGATGATGGCGAAGGAATTTCATACTGTCAAGGGCACATAATACAAATTGCATATTATGACTGGCAAATATTCCACGAATATCCCACTTGGATTAATGTTTAAAAATGGTTTTCCGATGCTTGCGTGTGTTTTTTCGTTATATCCCATGATATAAAGCTCTAATTTAGCTGCCCTGGAAATTTTTTAACTTGATCATTAACATTTTTTATTGGGTTAAATTTTCCGACGTCATTGAGCTTTAAGCTAAATTTTTACTCGAGGCAAATATACTTAAGGTCCGTTTGATTGACAAAAGTGGAAAGACAAAACAATGTCATATAAGTTGGAAAATAAAAATCCAAGTACTTCATAGGAATTTATTTTCCACGGAATTGACAAAAAAAAAACTTAAAGTGGTGGTATCTTGAAATTTGAACTTCATTTCCACTTTCGTATCAAACAGTCAAAATAGAAAATGAATTCCTCACATGTGACATTTTCCATGCTATGGGCTTCAATCAAAGGGACCCTTAAATATTGAGGACTTTTTTTTTTTCGAAACTTGGAAATTGATTATAATGATTTCAAAGTCGTACAAATTTGGAACAAAATAAAATTTAGCAAATCCAGCTTATGTTTTACAATTTTATTTTATTTTATTTTTGTTTCTTTTGTACTTCGAAGGTGAAGTAGCGAGAAGTCATCTTTTTATTTTACTGAATTTCGAAATGAATTTACAAGTCGTTTTCTAAAAACGGCCAAACCGAACAAAAGTATTTTTAGCTGCTAAATTACAAAAGAAAGAACAAATAAGTAATACACAAGGGAGGATTTGATAAGGTAATCGGATTAACCTCTAATTTTATATTTAAAAATAAAAACTTGTGTTGTTTCTTTTCTCTTGTAGCCGCATAGGTTTTAAATTCGTGACCATATCTACTTTCTAGCTCTCTTCTCGTAAAATTATTAGTAACTGAAACATTAGTTGATCGCACGAAATTTATGGATAATAAATACGTAGATAAAATTGGCTTAGATTATGGAANCATTAGCTCATTTTAATTTGAAGCAAATGAATGTACTTTATATAGTTTTGCTGTAATATTAATATCTACGTTTTGGTATTTGTATGCATTGAATTAATCTTATTGGACGGCTAGTTATTTATATGTTTTTGAATTGGGTTACGTTAATTTGTAAAAATTACGAATGAAATGTCATTAGTTGTATTTATGTAGTGTTGCTGTAAATATTAAAAAATTTGATTATGATACGGAACCGAACCGAACCGACCCGACCCGACCCGAACCCGAACGGTTCCATAATTATATTTGGACCCGACGGGTCCATTTATTAAATACCCGAAATTTTTGGGTCGGTTCGGATCTCTTCAGAATCGAACCGAATCGACCCACGAACAGCCCTAATCAAAAGGACCCTTAAATATTGAGGACTTATTTTTTTTCGAAACTTGGAAATTGATTATAATGATTTCAAAGCCGTACAAATTTGGAACAAAATAAAATTTAGCAAACCCAGCTTACGTTTTACAATTTTATTTTATTTTATTTTTGTTTCTTTGTACTTCGAAGGTGAAGTAGCGAGAAGTCATCTTTTTATTTTACTGAATTTCGAAATGAATTTACAAGTCGTTTTCTAAAAACGGCCAAACCGAACAAAAGTATTTTTAGCTGCTAAATTACAAAAGAAAGAACAAATAAGTAATAAACAAGGGAGGATTTGATAAGGTAATCGGATTAATCTCTAATTTTATATTTTAAAAAAAACTAGTGTTGTTTCTTTTCTCTTGTAGCCGCATAGGTTTTAAATTCGTGACCATATCTACTTTCTAGCTCTCTTCTCGTAAAATTATTAGTAACTGAAATATTAGTTGATCGCACAAAATTTATGGATAATAAATACGTAGATAAAATTGGCTTAGATTATGGAAAAGGGATAATAACATAAAACCAGTTGTTTAGTTTCAGGTTTATGAAAATCAGGTTTGTACTTTATTTGGTCAAAAATCAGATTTTAATTTCACAATTAATATTAATAATGATATTATAAAATTAACCCACCCTATTACCTACCCCACCACATTTCAATCCCAAACCCTAAATTCACTACCCGTTTCCTCCCAGGTTCCCCTTCATTCCCTTCTCCTCCATTCTTCCTCCCCCTCTCTCTCTCCATTCACAGCAGCGGCGTCGTCGCGACGTTGCTGTGAACCGCAACAGCCCGCAACAGCCCCTCATCAATGAATGTGTGGTTATGCCTCCTGATGTTGCTCTTCCTTCGCCGGCTTCTGTCCTTGGAATTGGATTCTGAATCCGTGTACGAATCAGAGGATTCGGACGTAAAGCTGTACTTCCGGTGCCTCCTCTTCTTTTGCTTCTTATTTTTGTTCTTCCATTTTCTCTTCCTCTCTTCCTCGGAATCTGGCAAATGTGTGGCGAATGTGCAGGTGGGGGTGGATCTGCGACGATGGTGAGTGGTTTTGGGTTTGTTTGTTGGTGTGGCGGTGACGGTTCTCGTCGATTAGATCGGGTGAGGTGGTGGTGATGTGTGGTTGTGGTGGTACTGTGACGATGGTGAGGTGCTCAGTGTTGCTTTTGTTCTCCATTGGTGATAGAGGTTAGTTGAAAAATGATGGTTGTGGCGGTGGTTGATCTGGCGGGTGTTGGTAGTGGCGGTGTCGACTTTTTGTGTTTTCTTTTTTTGTTTATTTTTGTGAGTTTCAGATTAGAGACGGTGTTGGTAGTGTGGCGGTAAGGTGGTGTTACTACTGGTTGTTATGGTGTTTGGGTAATGGTGATGTTGATCGTTGTGGTTGTCGTGGAGGTAGTGGCAGTGGTCGCGCCGACAGTGCAGAGGTTGTGGTGGTGGATTTAACGATTCTGGTTTTCTGTGACAAAATTAATTCACAACCTTAAAATTCGTCAATATTGACTAACAATATAATCCGTAACCAACTATTTCGTTTTCTTGTGACCTAAAAATTATATAATATGTGACTGTGAAAAAAATTTGTGACCAACCAATTTGGAAATCTGTGATCGTGTGATTTATAAATTTTGATTTGTGACCAGCTAATTTTGAAATCTGTTACCAATGAATTAACCGTGACCTACAAAATTTTTGATCTGTGACCGATAATAAAATTGTGAGCTAAAAATTTTAGATTTATGAGCTCGAAATAATACGTGACCTACAAATTTTTTGATCTGTGATCGAAGAAAAGTCGCCGGAGTGATCGTCGATCACCGGAGTAGTCGTCGGAGCAGTATGGGAGGTGGGGTGGAGTGGGGTGGGGTGGGGTGGAGGTGGGTTAATTATATTATATTGCAGTTAAATATTTAATTTAATATAATAATTGTGAAATATAATTAATTAATTCATGAAGAACCTGATTTTTGTAATTCTAAACCTTGGAGTCTGATTTTTATTTTGGGATAGATAAAGCTTGAATTGTGAATTTTTCCCTATGGAAAAACGATGGAGGTTTTGAACCCAAAAATTCAAAGCAAACTACACTCAAAAGAGTTCAGCCACGGCCCACGGTGAAGAAAGCATCGAAAAGCATCTAAACATTCTATTTTTATTTACTCTTCGTAATATTCTTGGTAATGGGATAAAACTTTCGCAAGTTATACGATGTCTTTTTTTCCTTCCTATCAAAGTAGAAAAATATCAGAGCGTATTTATTTATTTTCTCTTTTATCACCCATTCAGAAACAAAACTACCTATCTCCCCTAAGTGCCAAAAATGGACCACATATTTAAATGGAACAACACAAAGGGAAAAGAAAAATCAAATCAAAATTTTTTTATGGTAAAAGAAACACCATACATTTGTAAACCATAGTACTATTAAAATTGCCCTTTTTGTATTCACATATCCAAAAACAACTAGTTGCAAGTGGGACTAGGATCTTTCAAATGTGTGCCACAATCAAGAAATGTGCATTGTGCAGAAGCCAACTTTAGAAACAATTACATAATAATGCATAAAATATTGACAATTAAAAACTAAAGTTTCATTTTTTTATAAATTTGAAATTGATAACCCAATTTTTTCTTCTTCTTGTTAGATCTATTAAAAATATTAAATCAACTAAACTTTTATTAACTATCTATTTTATTTATGGTTTAAGATAATTATGTGATATGAAAAATAATATGCGTATGTTTACGAAGTGTTTACAAACAATTTGAATTATAAATATAATGTTTATGTCATGAAATGTGTGAGTGAGAAATGGGGTGTAGGGGATCGGCGCATCCGACCAATGTTCAATGATTATGTTAATATTAGCTATTCTGCGGTACTACTGGTGGGACTAGATCGAGTTCCAAATAATAATTGGACACTGCATTCCGATTAATTAGGCGATGCATCAAGTGAGCCAACGACGTTAATGTTAAAGTTTTTAAAGAAATGAATGAAAAAGGAGATACATATTAAGATACTTTTATTTTAAAGAAAGTCATACACATATTATAAGCATACATCGTATACATGAGGTTTTCTTATTGAGCGTTAGCTCATTCCACGTTATCCATCTATAGAAATGAATGGTTATATGTGGATAATCCCTCAAAAAGTATGGATAAAATGACTCGAAGATTTATAAACACAAGTCAATTGTACAATGAGTTACTAACGGTAATAAAGGAAGGAGGTAAAGATGAAATATATATATTTTTTTGATAATCGTGGATGTCTGGACCAGCTTGCGCGCACCTCGACTAATTCCACGAGTCCCTGAAATTTACGGCCGGATACTCACACCACTTGTTATATCTTTATTTTGATTTTTGTTCGTGAAGTCATTAGTACACCAAATGAAAGTACATATCTTGAAATGTTCAGAGAGTATCGGTGCTTCGTTATTACACCAAACTTTCAGTCCTTGCTTATTGCTCCCAACTCTTTCCAACTAAAAAGGGTCTGTCAAGAACCCTTTAAAGAAAATCTTGTATCACCCAAAAAAAATTGAAAATCAATAATCAACTCTTGAATAGAATTTTAGTTGGGAAACGTGCAAAAACGAGTTTGAGAAAGGAGGAGGAATGTGAAGCCATTTCTACAGATTGGGAGTTGGTACAATCTAGTTTGACGAGTTCTTCTCAAGCCATTTGTTTAGGATGGCTGCCACGTTTGTTGATAAAGCTGTTATATATTTAATTTGAATGTTTCAAACTTTGTTTCCTAGTTTTTAGGAGTTGATTGTTTTCAGCACTGGCGTGTTGAATCGTGACTTAATTCTAGGTCCATGATGTTAGTGGACGGTTATGTTTTCATGGTTATTCTTAAATTCTTGCTGTTCTTTCATCAACAGAAAACTTGTTTCTCTGTTTTTCAGATTCAAGAGACAACATCATTGTTGGCTTGTGTTTTGATTGTGGCTTTAGGTCCTATCCAGTTTGGTTTCACAGTAATCCACTATATTTATTCCCTACTTCAATTTCTTTTTGTATTGTTCTGGTGTGTTTTGATGTGCTTAAAAGTTTTATGTTTTTTTCCCCTCCACAGTTGGCCTTCACTTTTAAAATATTCTTAAATAATGTATTTAAAATCGACTATGTAAATCTTTTTCTTCGTTCCACTTAGTTTGTGGTTCGATCTACTAAAGAATCTAGATCAACTAAATTTTTATTAACTATCACGTTAGATTTACCCTTTAAGATAAAAGTTTGTGATACTAAAAATAATGAGAGAGTGTTTATATTTTTCGACTTAAATAGGGAAGGAGTGAGGGATCAAATCTTTATTTAATTCAGGGTTTTCACGAGAAATATCGAGTATTAACTTCCATTTAAAATTTTAACAATGTTACGATTAATAGTTAAAATTAACGTATGATGATTATTGTTTTATAGTTTAACAATGTAGAATTTTATCCTTAACTTGCGCCATCTGAATGGTAGATTGTTGTCTACTAGTGATTTTAGACAAATCAAAATGTTGATTTAAATTTCATCCTAAACATTAACCATGTTACAAGAGTAATCATAATCCATATTTGTTATTATCGTTTTCTTTATGCAACTAGACCATTTTAGAACTGAGTCAATTATCTCGATCTGAAAAATTAACCTCGTAGAATTGATGATTTTTGTGTAGAAAGTATTTAACTTCGACATAAACTATAAAAACAAATTACTACATTCACAAATTTCCTCAAACAAAGAAAAATCCAAGTCCCATGTGCTTAGAAAATATAGAAATATAAATTCTTGAAATAGACAAACTTGGTTCCAAATTAATCTCATATTTTGAATCACCTACTCCCATTATTTTGTACAATAGCTAGGATCCTACATGATCTTTGATTTACCCTAATCATATCATATGCTAATAAGCACACCAAACTTTCATGGTGGCCAGCAAATAATTGTCCCTTGTAAAAGCCTATACCCGACTCCACTCCACTCCACCCCACCCCAACCCCAACCCCAACCCCAACCCCACAATCCACATACACACGCAAATTGAGGACACGACAAAAATCTAGTCACCAAATCCCTGCTTTCTCAATCTCTTCAGCTCAGCGGTATTTCAAGAACCCAGTAAAGGAAAAAAAGTGATTTTGGGTTCATAGAGTTGCGCAGATTAATCAATAATCAGTTCTTGAATAGAGTTTTAGTGGGGAAAAAGGCCAAAAATGAGTTTCAGAGAGGAGGTTGAAGATGGGAGGGGGGATCTGAAGAAGCCATTTTTGCATACTGGAAGTTGGTATAGGATGGGTTCAAGGCAGTCTAGTGTGATGAGTTCTGCTCAAGGAATAAGGGACAGCTCTATTTCAGTACTGGCTTGTGTTTTGATTGTGGCTCTGGGTCCTATCCAGTTTGGTTTCACTGTAATCTACTACTTTCCCTACTTCGAATTTCTATTTTTTATTGTTCTGTGATAATCTTTTTCTGATTATACATCTTTTTATAACATGTTTGGCTGTGCTTAAAATATCTTAATGTTTTTGAAGTAGGTGCGGGCCAGTTAGAACTAAGATTATAGCTTAAAAAACACTTCCGATCCCATATTTCTCGTAGAAGCCTTGCCTTGTGGGTAGATAAGTAGGTTCTGGTCGACTGGGGATTTTTGAAAACCATATGCAGCAGTAATATTAAACTTAAATTGAATTGAATAGAGATAATTTTGTAATTCTTGAACATTATTTTGGATAAGCGGAATGTCGAGTTGCCCTTTCTGTAATCTGACTGGAATTTGAACACTTAGATCTAAAATTGTATCCTTTTGTGGGTTTACAAGTACCTTGTGGATGAGCAGGGCTTTTTAAAAACACTGCCTCGGTAAATTCAACTTAAAAGGTTTGGATTGTAATTGGACAGAGATAAATTTTGTAATTCTTGAACTTAATTTTGGGCAAGCTGAACTTCAAGTTCCCCGTTCTATTTGTGACAAATACTTGGAGGATAATGAGAGAGCCTTGTTTAGTGGAATGGATTGGGGACAATGGAATTAGGATTAGGAATGATTTTGTTTAAAGTAAAATAAATGCTTGATAACTTTAAATTTTCAGTCCCAACTAACTCCATGTCACTATGCCTTGAGTTAGGACATCTACTGGAAATTGAACTTGAAAAATTATCTCCTTTTATAGGAAAGAAGATTATTTAGCAGTAACGTAAAATTTCAACTTCAAAAGCTGGGAAAATTATGCCATTCTTGACATTCAATTTCGGAAATTGACTTCTAGTTGCACTTTATTTTTTCGTAGTTTCTTTTATATTATCTGTTTAAGTTGCCAAGAAATTGACTTGAATTTGAATTTGACTGAAAAAAGAATCCATGTATGCCCTTTTTGTTTGAAGTGAAATTGAATTTAGAAGCCGGAATCCTGAAATTCACTTGGGATAATGCTGAACTTAAATGGCTATTATGCTTGTGATAGTTTCTTGGAGATAATTATGATGGCACTGAATTAAAGTCTCGGAATTAACTTTTTAAAAGATAATTTTGGTTGGTATTATTTCTTATTTTGAACTTGAGGCCCCAATTTGATGCTAACTTGATGTTAGGATGTTTAGGATATAGCTATTTTCTTTTTCCTCTTATAAATGTGCCAGTTTACAGATTATGAGTTTATCTAATGTTTTTGTTGTTCTCGTGAAGTGTGGCTATTCTTCACCAACACAAGCTGCAATCACTAAAGATCTCAAGCTTACAGTATCCCAGGTTTTTATGAGAATGAATTTTTCTTGCTGTGGATTTAACAACATAGTTTATTATACTTACCGACTAAAACAATTTGGCCAGTTTTCTATGTTCGGTTCATTATCAAATGTTGGGGCTATGGTTGGGGCAATAGCAAGTGGTCAGATTGCTGAGTACATTGGACGAAAGGGGGTATGAGTGTTTTACTAATCTTAGTAGTTACTTGTATCATTTTAGCTATGTGTTTTTAAGTTTTACTCAACTTTTTATCTGTTTTGTTAATATGCAGTCTTTAATGATTGCTGCCATACCTAATATTATCGGTTGGATTACAATATCGTTTGCCAGAGTGAGTTTTTCCCACATGATCAGTAGCATCTCGTCTTTTACTGTCTGCTTCAAGAACCTCAATTAATTCTTCTGATTACATTTTCTTTTACATTAGGATATTTCATTTCTGTACATGGGAAGGTTGTTGGAAGGTTTTGGTGTCGGAATTATCTCTTACACGGTAAATACGAACCTTTTGTGTGGTTATTCTAGATGTTAAAAGAATCCTAATGGACTCGATGGATCCTTTTCTCCCCTTGAATATGAACATAGGTGCCTGTATATATAGCTGAGATAGCGCCTCAAAATATGAGAGGCGGATTGGGCTCGGTGAACCAGGTTAGCTAAGCCTCTTATTTTATTTTCATCTAGACCTATTAAACTCTAAGATGTGACTAAATTCTACTTTGTTCCATGATGCAGCTATCCGTGACAATTGGGATTCTTCTTTCATATCTACTTGGACTATTTGTTAATTGGAGACTTCTTGCTGTTCTCGGTAATTCTCTTCAGAACTTTTGATTGATGAATCCTCATCAAAGACTAAATTTGAATAAATAAATATGCTCCATCTCTAATGGTTTTTGGATGAGGTGGTTCAACATGAAATCACAACAAACAAGAGTCCTGTGTTCAAGTCTCGCCATCTTTTTTTTTTATGAAAATTTTGAATGTGCCACACCTTTAATAAGAAATGAATCGGGCCTGCACAGAAAGGGGTTTGTTTGAGACTAAATTTAAATAAATAAATTTTCCACGTTTCTAACTGGACCAAAGTTAACATTGCCCCTTGAACTTGCTAAAGATCTAGTTGCTTTTAGTGGATTTAGCAATGAACGGAGCAAAATGGTGTATTCATGTCGCTGACCCCATATTTAGTAGGAATAAGGATTTGTTTGTTGTTTGTTGTCATTGCCCATCTCTAATAGCTTCAACTTTGGTGGTTTATTTTCTCTGAGTTTATGACTAGGGCCCTGGAATGAATCAAAATTAATATTTTAATCCTGGATTCCTCTTATATTAGTGCTTCTTCTTGCAGCTTTTTCATTTGGTTTTGTTTAACTTATTGAGTTTGAGGACAAAGTATTGATGCTGATGTGATAACGAAAAAATTGAACTTTTTAAAATACAAATCCCCCTTTCCCCTTGCCATGGTAAATCTCCCATGTAAGTCGTGTGGATCCATAATTTGTCAAAAGCTTACTATAGCTCCCAAAGTGTGACCTTTATTAATTCCAATTTGCAGGAATATTGCCTTGTCTGATATTGATACCTGGCCTGTTTTTCATCCCGGAATCTCCTCGGTGGTTGGTGAGGTTCATGAAGGAGTTTGCTAAACCAATTCTTCATTTTCCACAGTTACAAGTACTAATGCAAGTGTCCTCACTTAAATAGGCAAAAATGGGAATGACTGATGATTTTGAAGCTTCCCTGCAAGTTCTTCGGGGGTTTGATACTGATATTACCCTCGAGGTTAATGAGATCAAGGTATGCCTTTTATGACTGTTTTATAAGGACTACATAAGTTTACATTTCAAGTAAAACAGTGGCACAAAAACTCCCTTTACTGTTTCTTATAACGTTTCAAGTAAAACAGTGGCACAAAAATACTCCCTTTACTGTTTCTTCTAACGAAATATAACCAATTTCTTGAAGAATCATAAGGTAGATTTCATATGATATGTTTTTGGCATGCAGAGGTCCGTAGCATCATCAACGAGCAGAAGAACGGCAATCCGTTTTGCAGATCTCAAACTTAAAAGATATTGGTTACCTCTCATGGTACTTGGCTTCTCGGATAGGTCCTGCATTTGAACATGATCATCACGTTGAGTTTTTTTACTAATTTTCTTTCCCTTTTATCCTGCAGATAGGAATTGGGTTACTTGCTCTGCAACAGCTCACTGGAACTAATGGTGTTCTCTTCTATTCTACTACTATTTTTGAATCTGCTGGTAGGTTGTAACTGTTTTTCCCCTTTCTTTTAGAAATGGGAAATAAACTTCTGCTTTCTTTGTCGAACTCATGACGACATTCAAATTAGCACCTCGCTTTCAATTTCTAGCATTTTTTATGATATGCATGTTGGTACTTTGCTTTCAATTTCTACTCAGTAGTTAGAGCATGTTTGGCTAAGCCCAAAAAAATGTAAAAGTATTTTTTGGAAAGTAAAGAATTACTTTTAAAATAGTTGGGTTTTGAAGTAACTTCTAAAAAGCCTCAAACTTCTTTTGCAAAAAACGAAAAATATTAAAAAAAGCTTAGACTTACATTTGGCGAAGTTTAAGACGTAAAGGGCTTTTATCTTGAATGAACAGGGATCTCGTCAGGCAATGTCGCAACAGTTGGTGTTGGTGTTATTCAGGTGAAGCATTGAATTTCACATATGATATTGGCTTAAATTGTTGTTTTTGAATCTTTAAAAAAAAATGGAACTTTGCACATCTATTAGGTCATTGCTACTGCAGTTTCAACATGGTTGGTGGACAAAACCGGACGAAGGATTCTACTAATTGTAAGTTAAAGCAATGTATATAATTTTGCAGTCTACAAGCAATCAGTATACCTGACAAAATATATATATATATATGGGCTGCAGACCTCCTCTTCTGGGATGGCTATTAGTCTCCTTGTTGTTGCTGTTTCATTCTTTTCGAAGGTAAATATGCTATAAAATGTCTTTTTATGTCCATTTTCCGTGTCTGTTGTTCCTGATAAACAATTTGACAATTTTGCAATTTGAATTATTCAAGGGCTTCGTATCAGAGGATTCTTCTCTCTACAGCATATTTGGAATTCTATCAGTAGTTGGGGTTGTGGTATGTCTTCTTGCAAATACTTTAATAGACGATGATTCCTGAATGTTTGTACACGAGTTCTCAATTCAACCAATATTTTCTATTGTAGTGCATGATTGTGGCTTTTTCACTAGGAATGGGGCCCATTCCATGGCTTATCATGTCTGAGGTGCGTTTTTTTCTCTACCCCTCCGTTTCAGTCCACTGCAACTTGTGGATGCTCTTATACTAATTTTTCGTGTGTTGTTCATTGACTTTGGCACTTGTCTTTGATTTTCAGCTGCTCTTCTTAAAAATGCCTGAATAAATTATTGCTAAACAAAAGGTTTTCAAACTCTGTTCTGTTGTTTTATGTCGATCCATTAGTCAAATTTTCGACCAAAATATTGGTTAATGAAAGAGATTTATTGAAGCTTGAATACGCTATATATGCAGTCAAATGTTGAGAAAATAGTGTCTTTATGTGACCATGTTTCCTCGTATCGTGTACTGCAGATTCTTCCTGTCAAAATCAAAGGCCTAGCTGGAAGTGTGGCAACTTTGATTAACTGGTTTGTTTCCTGGGTTATTACAATGACTGCACCGTTGCTATTGGATTGGAGCAGTGGAGGTTTGTATACTTTTACACTTACTCATGATACACTTTTGCATCTTTAAATGGAAAAAAATTATTTTTCCTGAGTAAAATCGTAAAGACAAGCATGGAGGAGAAACATAGCCCTCTCCTCAACATTACTAGAAGATAAAATTTTAGTTACTTGCACATCCCCAGCTAGCCAAACCTAATCAATCCACTTACCCTTTCTTTAGGTAAAATCCATTACTGAATAAGAGGAAAGTTTTATTTCTCTACTCCGTGGCAGTATTAGCAGATTTCTCCATCACTATAGGATTGGAATACATGAAACTAATAGTAGCGGAAATGAGGACTCTATGATGAAAATGTGGTCATACTAAAATAAATAAATAAGAAATTAGGGGAATGAGTAGTTGCTAAGGATGTAATTGCTTTAGATCTTCGGGTAGATCTAGTAATAAATGAGCATATTGGAGAAAAAGGATTTTATGTAGCCGACCCCCAATTTATTTGGAATAAGGTTTAGTTTGTTGTTTTTGGAGTCTTTTTCACAAGGGAATCCACCAATCTGTTTCCTTCATGATTCATAAGTTTGGACTCATTGTATATTGTTTCAAATTTTCAGTCATCTCACTCTATGCCCAAGTATAAATCTGAACTGGCATTTCTGGGTCTATATCTCTACCATATAATAATGCTTTTCTCCCGAGCTTGCACTTGAGTTGCAACACAATAGGATGAGCAAAGTCACTATGTTGTATTAAATCACTTATTGAAGCATCTTGTCTATAATCTGTTAGAGCCTTCAATGCCCCTCACATGCAGGTGGGACCTACACTTGCACAATTTTTATAAATGGTTGGCGGAGATACTTGAACATGTGACCTAACGCTGCTTCAATACCGTGTTGAATCGCACCTAAAAGCTTAAACTATTGGAGAAATGACTCATTTAAATTTAGTCTTCAACAGCATGCCCACCCACCCACAGAGAGTAGTGCCATACAAAGAAAGAGCAATATGTTCTGGTTCACGACTTTCATGAATTCTGCTTGAAACACTAGATATAATAGTTGCCCAATTCACACTGTGATTGCATTCTGTTCCTTCGCGTATTACATGTTTTGATGTCACTATTTTTTTCATGGTGTCCTTATCTTTAAATTGTAATCATCAGTAGCAGTAACTTGTCCTCATCGTATTTCTCAACATTTTCGACATTCTTGCATATTTGACAGGGACCTTCACTTTTTACACTGTCATGTCCGTTTTCACTGTGATATTTGTGGCAATTTGGGTGCCAGAGACAAAGGGCAAAACCTTAGAGGAAATCCAGTTCTCCTTCAGATGAGACTTCTCCATTCTACTCAATAATTTGTTGATGTTATTAGATTCACAGGCTACTATTGCATTATACACCAAGTGCTGTTTAAAGGCAGACGAGTAATATTTTTCTTCACATCTTTTTGGCTGGAGGGAGGGCGTTGTCTTGAGCATATCATTGTTCGTGTTCATTTGAGTTCCTTAGGCTTCAATGCTCGATGCTCAAAATATATTTATTATTTTCAAATGGGCTTGCTATGCTTTTGAAATTTATAATTGCAAATGGTTATGAAGATTTTTAATAATTGAAATATCTATATGTACTGTGTTTATATAAACTTCTTCATGGTTAACAAGCTATAATTCCTCAAATCGTGTTATTTAATTACTTCGAGTGTATGTTTGGTATGTACTGATGGACATATTGGATTGATCACAAATGATCCAAAAATATAGAGAGAAATGAGATATATAGCATATACTTAGCGGAACTCAAACAAAAGTCTCTCTGGCACTAGGATACGACATTTCTTGTAATTTCTAATTGCAATTTCTTTGTGATGGTTCACAATTTTTCGATGCACAGTCGCCTAATCAAAATTGTTTAGTTTAGTCGTCGAGTAATGCTATTCTTAGTCGTCAGACTATAAATTAATTATTGCACGTGATCCAATGACATTGCCGGCCAAACGGGTCAATTTTAACAACTATAAATTAATTATTCAGATATTTACAGCCGGCCTCTTTGTACTCAAAAGTTAGAGATAGATAAGAAAAGGCTGTCATTTAATCAAAGCTACCAAATTGCACAATAAAGAAGTTCACGTGCTACATATAAAAAGATAAAAGAAAATAAAAAGATTAAAAAAAAAAATTTTTTAAAAAGATGTATGATTAAACAGACCAAATGCACATGAACAGTTTAGTGACAGCTAATGAAGTCAAAAGATGTTTCCAATTGAAGAAAATGAGCCGGTTGGACAATGTGTTCAAGATAAAATTTATAAACTTGTTTGATCCTCGTTATTTTTAAAATATATTTTGCTCTCGCTTCTTTTCAACCACACATTTTTCCATAAAATAATATTACACGCAAGCTAAATTTTTTTTTTCTTATTTTTTAATCACATATTCTCCGTCAATTTACTATTCCAAAATACATTCTTACAATAAAATAGGGCTCAAGCTTCTCATCCAAATATAGAATCCTAAAAGTTGTTGAAGTCTCAAATTGACTCAATAGATTTTTCTAGTGATATATAATATGTCTTCTAACTCGTCTCATTCTAGACCTTTTTCTCGAGGCCGTAATAAACCTACGGGCCTGTATTCATGTCCATTCATAAGCATTTACACAAAAATGATGGGCAAATATCAACAATAGAGCCGAAAAATAGCATGTAATTCATGAAATGTAGAACAAGATTGACAGATCTCCATATTCAAGAGCTTTATTTGTAATTCAAAAAGAGAACCCTAAATTTTGTTGTCATCTCGACTCAACTCAAATAGGCTTTCTAGTGATTTATAATTTGCCCTCTAACTCGTCTCATTCTAGAATCGAGTATGTTACAAAAGCATTTACGCGCTAAGAGGGAGGCAAATGTCAACAATAAAGTTGAATAATAGCATGTAATAATTATAAAAAGTACAAAACAAGATTGACAAATCTCCAAATTCAGGAGATTAGATTTTCCACTAAAGGAGAAAAATTAAAAGCCCAGGTATCAGTTCAATAATCAAATAAAGAAACCGAATAAAAAGCACAGTATAAACTAAAAAAACAGCGATGCAAGGCTCGACTACATAACAGAATCCTATTCCAAAACTACTTTCACTGGATACCTGTCGATGCAATCCTCCCAAGGACCATTTCGAGATGGTTTTACATTCCTAAGTGCCTCCCACACTGCACTGTTGCATTTAAAACCACTTCCAAAAGCAATTTGCCAGACTCGATTACCCCTCCTCATTCTTCCCTTTGCCTCGGTGTATGCCAGCTCGTACCAAATCGAGCTCGAAGAAGTGTTTCCGAACCGGTGGAGAGTCATCCTTGAAGCTTCCACATGAAGCGGGAGCAGCTGAAGATTCTTCTCCAGTTCATCAATCACAGCCCTTCCACCAGCATGTATGCAGAAATGATCAAATGCCAGCTTAAAATCCGGAATGTATGGTTTTACGCTCTTCTTGAAAAATTTCTTAAGTACCAATGTAGCGAAGAACAAAAGCTGCTCACTGATTGGTAACACGAGAGGACCCAAAGTAGTGATATTAGTCTTAAGAGCTCCACCTGCAATAGCCATGAGATCTTTCGATAAAGAAACCCCTGTTTTCCCTGCTGAATCCTGCTCCTGATACACACCATGAAATGCCTTATCATCTGCCCCTTTATGCGTTCGCACAACATGAACAAGCTTGTACTTGGCCCTCCTCCTATCGGCAGACTTATTAGACAACAAAACCGCAGAACCCCCAACTCTAAACAAACAATTGGGTATCAACATCGACTTCTTGTTCCCGAAATACCAATTCTGTGTAATATTCTCTGTACTAACTACAACTGCATAAGTATTCCTATGCACCTGCAACAAGTCCTTGGCTAAATCAATGGCGATCACGCCTGCACTACACCCCATCCCGCCCAAATTGAAACTCCTAAGATTCCCCCTCAACTTGTACTTATTCACGATCATAGCTGAGAGTGAAGGAGTCGGATTAAACAAACTACAATTCACTACAAGAATCCCTATATCCTTCGGCTTCACTTTAGTTTTCGCAAAAAGATTATCCAATACCCCAAACATCACTTGTTCGGCTTCTTCCCTAGCAGCCTGCATAGACGGCCTGGGAGGAACCAAATGCATCGCCTCCGGTGCATAAGTCTCATCCCCAAGCCCTGACCTCTCGAGTATTTTCCTCTGGAACTCGAGAGAGGACTCATCAAAATCCCCAGTCAACTGGGAATGTTCCATGAATCGACTAAACGGAGCCTTCAAATTCTCCGGTGCCCGATAACACGAATAATCGACAAGATAAACAGGTCGAGGCCGGGTCATGATGTAAACTGTGGATCCAAATACAAGAAATGCAGAACATATAATAACCGATACAAGATTGTATTGCAAATGGAGCCACAATTGACGAATATCATTGGGATTCATTTGGGATGCCTCAATTAAAATGATAATCATTATGGGCACTAAGCAAAGAGTAAACAAATTAGAGACCAAGTAATGGTACCCAAGTTTGACATACTTCAACTTGACGCTGAGGAGGAAGTCCGGAAGCCTACGGCTGTGGTTGATCTGGACACTCACGGTGGCACCGCCATTTTCTTGGGCATCTCCGGTACCTCCTCCGTCCATGGCTGCGCGTCGACTTCTACTGTGTCTAATGTTATACTGCCACTGCTAGTTGAAATCAAGAAAGTATTTTGAGGTGAAGGGGAAATTGACTTTTAGCAATAATCGAGTGTAGGTGGCATGAGTTTTACAATCAATTTGGATAGATTTATGTATTCATAATTAGTCACACATTTTATCATATCCATTGCTTGTCAGGCTTCGCATTGATTGATATATTCAANAGCGATGCAAGGCTCGACTACATAACAGAATCCTATTCCAAAACTACTTTCACTGGATACCTGTCGATGCAATCCTCCCAAGGACCATTTCGAGAAGGTTTTACATTCCTAAGTGCCTCCCACACTGCACTGTTGCATTTAAAACCACTTCCAAAAGCAATTTGCCAGACTCGATTACCCCTCCTCATTCTTCCCTTTGCCTCGGTGTATGCCAGCTCATACCAAATCGAGCTCGAAGAAGTGTTTCCGAACCGGTGGAGAGTCATCCTTGAAGCTTCCACGTGAAGCGGGAGCAGCTGAAGATTCTTCTCCAGTTCATCAATCACAGCCCTTCCACCAGCATGTATGCAGAAATGATCAAATGCCAGCTTAAAATCCGGAATGTATGGTTTTACGCTCTTCTTGAAAAATTTCTTAAGTACCAATGTAGCGAAGAACAAAAGCTGCTCACTGATTGGTAACACGAGAGGACCCAAAGTAGTGATATTAGTCTTAAGAGCTCCACCTGCAATAGCCATGAGATCTTTCGATAAAGAAACCCCTGTTTTCCCTGCTGAATCCTGCTCCTGATACACACAATGAAATGCCTTATCATCTGCCCCTTTATGCGTTCGCACAACATGAACAAGCTTGTACTTGGCCCCCCTCCTATCGGCAGACTTATTAGACAACAAAACCGCAGAACCCCCAACTCTAAACAAACAATTGGGTATCAACATCGACTTCTTGTTCCCGAAATACCAATTCTGTGTAATATTCTCTGTACTAACTACAACTGCATAAGTATTCCTATGCACCTGCAACAAGTCCTTGGCTAAATCAATGGCGATCACGCCTGCACTACACCCCATCCCGCCCAAATTGAAACTCCTAAGATTCCCCCTCAACTTGTACTTATTCACGATCATAGCTGAGAGTGAAGGAGTCGGATTAAACAAACTACAATTCACTACAAGAATCCCTATATCCTTCGGCTTCACTTTAGTATTCGCAAAAAGATTATCCAATACCCCAAACATCACTTGTTCGGCTTCTTCCCTAGCAGCCTGCATAGACGGCCTGGGAGGAACCAAATGCATCGCCTCCGGTGCATAAGTCTCATCCCCAAGCCCTGACCTCTCGAGTATTTTCCTCTGGAACTCGAGAGAGGACTCATCAAAATCCCCAGTCAACTGGGAATGTTCCATGAATCGACTAAACGGAGCCTTCAAATTCTCCGGTGCCCGATAACACGAATAATCGACAAGATAAACAGGTCGAGGCCGGGTCATGATGTAAACTGTGGATCCAAATACAAGAAATGCAGAACATATAATAACCGATACAAGATTGTATTGCAAATGGAGCCACAATTGACGAATATCATTGGGATTCATTTGGGATGCCTCAATTAAAATGATAATCATTATGGGCACTAAGCAAAGAGTAAACAAATTAGAGACCAAGTAATGGTACCCAAGTTTGACATACTTCAACTTGACGCTGAGGAGGAAGTCCGGAAGCCTACGGCTGTGGTTGATCTGGACACTCACGGTGGCACCGCCATTTTCTTGGGCATCTCCGGTACCTCCTCCGTCCATGGCTGCGCGTCGACTTCTACTGTGTCTAATGTTATACTGCCACTGCTAGTTGAAATCAAGAAAGTATTTTGAGGTGAAGGGGAAATTGACTTTTAGCAATAATCGAGTGTAGGTGGCATGAGTTTTACAATCAATTTGGATAGATTTATGTATTCATAATTAGTCACACATTTTATCATATCCATTGCTTGTCAGGCTTCGCATTGATTGATATATTCAAAATATCGAGTGACGTGACATAGGAGCGACAAACAAGAATTAAGGAAATGAACTCAGATATATTGTCACGCAGGGCTTTGTAAATTTAACGAAAGACGAGTATCAAAAAATATATAGAGGTCTTTTAATTTGTTAAAAAGAGGCAATGGACAAAAATGTAAATATTATCGCCTTTTTGAAAGACTTCAAGTGTAATGGGTTGGTGTATCAATAAATAGATAAAGGTCTTTGAATTTGATCAGAGGCAATGGACGAAAATGTAATTATTATCGCCTTAAAATGAAATGTTGTATGCTATTGAGAACTTTTCATATACAAACATCGAGTAAGTTTGACTCGATTCAACTCGATGTTACACACAAACCTATGCTAGACTTGAAAATCCGAGCTTCTAACAAAGTACAAGAGAGCCAAATCATACTGATTACTCCAGGCCATAACAAATCACCAGTAAAATGCAGGATGCATTATAGTCTTCTCATTTCCAATATTTTACAGACTACTAACATGTTTCAGAACTCAGTACATCCTTTTATATCTCTAGAAAAGAAACAATAAACTATGCCTCCTCAAAATGTCATGTATCACAAAGTTTGAGAGAAGAATGTGTTCTTCTATAAAGCCAGGATATCGATTTCATGTGGCATGAATTCATCGCCCGGTCTGTAGTATTTGTCGGGCGAGTACAGGCCCAGATTCGTAACTTGGCTGGTATAGAGGCAAGCGAATCTCTCGACCTACAAAATACAAAAGGAAATTCATTTAATGTAAGAATCCAAGAATATAATTCTCATTATTAGTGCTCTTTGATCCGACCTGATGTGCGAAGCGCGAACTCTGATAGCCGGTCTTCATCAATTGTCCCCACACCTTGTGGAACTGAAAAGTATTTGATAAGAGACATATTATCACTTGAAGTACGACAGATATTGCTAAACATATTTTCAAGTTCGGTTAGGTGGATCAAATAGCATTCGACAAAATTAAAAATGAAAAAATTTGTACGGTCTAGTACGGTTATTTTATTGCATACCAAACATGCACAAAGATCATTGACTCAATTAAATGTTTTAAGTGAATAATTTTATTTAAGAGCATTAGTCTGATGCTTTAATGGTAGAGGAAGAATTATTGCACGCCATCTCTTACCATTCGATGACATTCTCGTTGAGCTTGTTGATGTTTGAGCCGCACTTGCTCGCTCTGAGACTGTGAGTTTTGAGGCGTTAGTAAAAAAATATGAAAAAAAATTAGGATTATACCACTTGTACATCAAGTGGTGTACATCAAGGGTTACTCCCCCCTCACATGCGGGGTGGTATCCACTGAAATGATATTTTTTTATTCGAGTGGACCCACCCCCCATGTGAGGAGGGTGAAACCCCCGATGTAAAGCTTGATGTACCACTAGCATAACCCAAAAAATTAAATATTTTATTCAGAAATATCGTAATTTCAGAATCCTAGTTGCTAAATAGGCTAAACACGTCCATTCAAACTATCATTCAGTTAACTAAATAAAAGACTAAGCATCATATGAACACACTGTCATTCACCCGTTAAACTTAGGGAAGGATGAAAATTTTAGGAGATCAAACCTTAATTCGTATTCCAAGAGCAATAAACAGAAAACAGTTGAGACACACCAATCTACATTTGTTAAAACTCAATATGAAAGCTAAGTAAACTTGCCGCTCCAGATTCATCACTACAATGAAGAAAGGAATTACACACACCTCTGTTTTGTCTACACAAAACAGCTTCATTCCAAATCCTTTACATTTGAATATGATTGGAATGTTAAGATAACCTAAAAAACGTGTAGCTATTAAGTCGATCAGCAGCCAGGGGGAAAAGTGTATAGTACAATTAGGCTCCACATAGTCCAACAGAAAAAGCACAAATAAACTGTAAAATATGGAAAAACATTTTAAGTAACATTAAACAATTGGCCCCTCACTAAACGTGAAATACAGAAACAGCAAGATACATCTTCAGAGTGATATCCTTGACATGACTCAAAATTCTTCCAGTAACATTTTTGTTATTACACATTTAAAGTTTGAACGCTGGACAAATATTAACAGAGGGACATCTAAAGATACCTTTGTCAAATAAATACATTATTTTAAAAATTACATGTTTGCTAAATATACCAACCTTCAGTTTGTCAAGCTCGGCAAGTAGCTTTTCCTCGTTGTCATCATTCACGCCATCAAATCTGAGTATGTCAAATATACTCAATAAAAGACTCTATGCCCCCTCTTTGTGAGAGGTTCTCTCATTAAATATGACTAAAATAACAACTAAATATGGAAACAATCAATTACAATATTAATTAATGATAAAAACACTCTATCTATAACTAATATAATCCTAATTTTTTACGATCTCCATAATGCTTCGCATTGATTGATATATTCAATAACATGTCCTTAAAAGTGAGCAATACAAAAATAATTTCTATTGTCCTGAGTATTCTTATTAGTCAAAATATCGAGTGACGTGACATAGGAGCGACAAACAAGAATTAAGGAAATGAACTCAGATATATTGTCACGCAGTACTTTGTAAATTTAACGAAAGACGAGTATCAAAAAATATATAGAGGTCTTTTAATTTGTTAAAAAGAGGCAATGGACGAAAATGTAAATATTATCGCCTTTTTGAAAGACTTCAAGTGTAATGGGTCGGCGTATCAATAAATAGATAAAGGTCTTTGAATTTGATAAGAGGCAATGGACGAAAATGTAATTATTATCGCCTTAAAATGAAATGTTGTATGCTATTGAGAACTTTTCATGTACAAACATCGAGTAAGTTTGACTCGATTCAACTCGATGTTACACACAAACCTATGCTAGACTTGAAAATCCGAGCTTCTAACAAAGTACAAGATAGCCAAATCATACTGATTACTCCAGGCCATAACAAATCACCAGTAAAATGCAGGATGCATTATAGTCTTCTCATTTCCAATATTTTACAGACTACTAACATGTTTCAGAACTTAATACATCCTTTTATATCTCTAGAAAAGAAACAATAAACTATGCCTCCTCAAAATGTCATGTATCACAAAGTTTGAGAGAAGAATGTGTTGTTCTATAAAGCCAGGATATCGATTTCATGTGGCATGAATTCATCGCCCGGTCTGTAGTATTTGTCGGGCGAGTACAGGCTCAGATTCGTAACTTGGCTGGTATAGAGGCAAGCGAATCTCTCGACCTACAAAATACAAAAGGAAATTCATTTAATGTAAGAATCCAAGAATATAATTCTCATTACTAGTGCTCTTTGATCCGACCTGATGTGCGAAGCGCGAACTCTGATAGCCGGTCTTCATCAATTGTCCCCACACCTTGTGGAACTGAAAAGTATTTGATAAGAGACATATTATCACTTGAAGGACAGATATTGCTAAACATATTGACTCAATTAAATGTTTTAAGTGAATAATTTTATTTAAGAGCATTAGTCTGATGCTTTAATGGTAAAGGAAGAATTACTGCACGCCATCTCTTACCATTCGATGACATTCTCGTTGAGCTTGTTGATGTTTGAGCCGCACTTGCTCGCTCTGAGACTGTGAGTTTTGAGGCGTTAGTAAACAAATATGAAAAAAAATTAGGGTTATACCACTTGTACATCAAGTGGTGTACATCAAGGGTTACTCCTCCCTCACATGCGGGGTGGGATCCACTGAAATAATATTTTTTTATTCGAGTGGACCCACCCCCCATGTGAGGAGGGTGAAACCCCCGATGTAAAGCTTGATGTACCACTAGTATAGCCCAAAAAATTAAATATTTTATTCAGAAATATCGTAATTTCAGAATCCTAGCTGCTAAATAGGCTAAACACGTCCATTCAAACTATCATTCAGTTAACTAAATAAAAGACTAAGCATCATATGAACACACTGTCATTCACCCGTTAAACTTAGGGAAGGACGAAAATTTTAGGAGATCAAACCTTAATTCGTATTCCAAGAGCAATAAACAGAAAACAGTTGAGACACACCAATCTACATTTGTTAAAACTCAATATGAAAGCTAAGTAAACTTGCCGCTCCAGATTCATCACTACAATGAAGAAAGGAATTACACACACCTCTGTTTTGTCTACACAAAACAGCTTCATTCCAAATCCTTTACATTTGAATATGATTGGAATGTTAAGATAACCTAAAAAACGTGTAGCTATTAAGTCGATCAGCAGCCAGGGGGAAAAGTGTATAGTACAATTAGGCTCCACATAGTCCAACAGAAAAAGCACAAATAAACTGTAAAATATGGAAAAACATTTTAAGTAACATTAAACAATTGGCCCCTCACTAAACGTGAAATACAGAAACAGCAAGATACATCTTCAGAGTGATATCCTTGACATGACTCAAAATTCTTCCAGTAACATTTTTGTTATTACACATTTAAAGTTTGAACGCTGGACAAATATTAACAGAGGGACATCTAAAGATACCTTTGTCAAACAAATACATTATTTTAAAAATTACATGTTTGCTAAATATACCAACCTTCAGTTTGTCAAGCTCGGCAAGTAGCTTTTCCTCGTTGTCATCATTCACGCCATCAAATCTGAGTATGTCAAATATACTCAATAAAAGACTCTATGCCCCCTCTTTGTGAGAGGTTCTCTCATTAAATATGACGAAAATAACAACTAAATATGGAAACAATCAATTACAATATTAATTAATGATAAAAACAATCTATCTATATCTAATACAATTATAATAATATAATCGTAATCTTCGACGATCTCCGGAATCTTATTCAATCTTATTGAAATTGATGCTGGCAAAAGCATCAATTTGCAATCATGAACTAGCGACGGTGACAATACTTGTGCCCACTAATAAGAAAACAAAATCAAAGCAACCAACTACAAAAATTAGTGACGACGAGAGACCAAAAACAACAAATAATGTAAAAACAACAAAGAACTACTCCAAAGTCACTCCAAGAACACTTCAAAGATACTACAAGAACTCACACTCCCCAAGAAGAATTTCTAAAAGAAATTCACGAAGTGTGCCGACACACACAGTGAGCTCTATCTGTAGGGAGAACTTAGTCGAACACAATTCGTGTTCCAACAAAAGCTCCAACGCCAAAACACCAGCCAAAACTCCAGATATTGCAGATGGAAGAAATACCACAAAACAGCCTAAACTTGAGCTCATCACCTGAGCAACCAAAACGCGATGATATGCACTCCCATGTCTATACTCACGAAATACCATATAAAGGGGGAAAAAATCGAAGCCCAATCCAAAAAAAAAAAGAGATGAACAAGGTTAATTTGTTAGGTGAAAATATGTATTGACTTGTAAAACTGCAAAAAATGATCGTGTATATTCAAAAAAAATTGGTCGGGCGAACAGCACAAGGCCGCCTGCTGAAAACGAAATTCAAGGGCTAATTTGTTTAGCATTAGAACGGCTCTAATACTATATCAAATATACTTAATAAAAAACTCGATACCCCTCTTTGTAAGAGGTTCTCTCATTAAATAGGACTAAAATAATAACTAAATATTGAAGCAATCAATTACAATATTAATTAATGGTAAAAACAATCTATCTATATCAAATACAATTATAATAATATAATCGTAATCTTTGACCATTTCCGGAATCTTATTCAATCTCATTGATAGAGTACACATTGTGTAATGAGCAACATTTTCTCATGAATGTATTCAAATGCTGCAGAGGATAACTTTATGACCTCAAACAATTCAATGAATTCAGAAAATCGACTATAAAAGGAAGACAGTAATTTAATAACTTATTTTATTTCTTCTGACGTGGAATCCATGATCGCTCAACAGTTTTTATACCCAAAATGATAGCGAACAAAACAAAAGGCATATTTACAGCCCATTACCACAAATTTATGCAGTAAAGTTTCAAAGTAAAGGGACAAAAGTTACCTGATACACCATTTGAGATGATGTATCTCATCTTCGATGTGATCTCTTTCATTCCTCAGTAACTGGAGTTGCTGCAGAGAAAACACGGTTTCAGAATCGACAGCTCCCAGAACAGAATTTAAGGATCACAGATCAGAGTAAAATCTAATGGAGGAAATAATCAAGTCGCTTTCTGAACTCGTCACGCCAAATAAAGCAGGTCCGATTACTTTACAGGAAACAATAAGGAATCGATAATTCAAAATATTTGTCTGGAGGCCAAATAATATCCCTCTGAATAAGAACATTGTTTAACACCTAGATAAACTAACCATGCTATAGTAAGCTTAACTTTTTGCTGAAAATTGTTTTCCTTAACAATAGGCCAAAAAGAGAATTGTGTCTATATGGCTATACCTTGCGGGTATCTCTCAACTGCCAGAGAAGTTCAACCTCCCTCTCAAGCTCCGGGACAACAAGCATTGTTCTCCAACCTATTAACAAAATGTTATAAGCTTGAATTGGATGAAACAAACAAAAACATCTCTGAACGAAATCACAAGATGCTTAGGTGAAAAAGATTTAGCCTCTATTTGGCAAATTTATGAATTATTTATAGATAGGTCCAACTTCATTTTCAACCACACATTTGAATAGACCAACAAGCACTATCTACATATCCACAACTCATTTCTATCTATTTATAACTTAAACTGGTTATAAATTCTTCCCAAACGGAGGCATTATTTGGCAACAGGATAGAATACTTATATTATCCAATCTCAAACCAGATAAAAAGAATATCGGACCAATTATATCCTATATCCCTTTCTAACTTAATTGACACCTTGCACAACAACCCGAAGATGTAAACTTGGGATTAATACCCTAAATAGTCACCGAACTTTACCAAAAGTTCCCAGGAAATCACTGAACTTCAAAACTTCCCTAAATAGTCATTGAACTTTGCAATAAGTTCCTAGATGGTCACTGAACTTCAAAACTACCCTAAATAGTCACCGAACTTTGCAAATTGGGAGCCCATACATCAATGGTTCGGTGACCCATAACTTTTTGCAAAGTTGAGTGACTATCTAAGGGAGTTTTAGTAAAGTTACGTGACTATTTAGGGTAGTTTTGAAGTTCCGTGACCATCTAGGAACTTATTGCAAAGTTCAGTGACTATTTAGGGAAGTTTTGAAATTCGGTGACCTCCTGAGAACTTTTGGCAAAGTTCGGTGACTATTTAGGGTATTAACCCTGTAAAATTGGGATTTACGAGGGATTAGGGAGAAAAGAATGAATTGCACTATGCTATTAATTACATTGGATGCCAGCCTGAGTAATTTCTAAATGCCATTATTTTCTTGAAAACAATATTTAAGTTCCCAGCTAGATATAGAAAGAAGGCGGCAAAAAGCATATGGCCAAAAATGATGATCATTAACTGAGATCAGTTTCCCTAAAACCCTGCGTTGGATAGAAAGTAAAACACAGTACCGTCAAGCAACATGTCCTTTGCACCTGAAGTATCTTTCATGAAAAGTAATTTCAGATTAACAATAAGTTTCACCAAAGTAGGTTTACTGCAACTTCCATCATTTGAGAATGCCAATGCAGTTATGTTCACAAATGGATATATTCTATAATAGAGATGAAAGACATACCTAAGACTTTTTTACTGCGTAAAATATCCCCATAGATGTGATCCCCGATATAAAGTACCTAAGAAATTAAATGTAAATGTTAATGTTAATGGTTTGCAAGAAATCAACCTAACCTTACTCAATATATTCACTTAGTTTCTAAAGATAAACTATTTATCTTTAACTTTACCCCCAAAATTTAAAATGTAAAAAATTTTAGGTCTCCTTTCACTTGTATACTTCTGGGATTAAAATAAACCACTTGTATTTATGCATGTGGCAAATCATAAGAACATGCAACATCTATTTTCATAGTGCCTAATAACAAATAAAATAATTAAAAAGGATGGGAAAGAAAAACATCCTAACTTAAAGGATGACTAGAATACCTGAGAGCTTGACTCTATAGACAATAGTTTATGCAGATGGCCAACATTTCCTCCCTGAAAACAGAGTGAGATAAAACCAATATCACAATGACAAGGGCTACTATCTGCAAAATTAACAATGTTAGAATGGTACAAATTTACAAAATTGTAGGATGCAGCTATACCTGAAAAACTCTGCATCTCTTATCTATATTCAACGGCAGCCTTAACGAAGTATCTACCTAGTTAATCAAAGATAAGAAGAATGGGTTACTAGACTTGCAGGAGAGCAGGAAAAAGGAATCCAATTTTGTAGATCGTGTAGATTCAACTAACCGGAGGCATAGGAGTGCCATTATCAGTGTTAAGAAGCATCCCAGACTCAGGATCAACCTCAAAAAGATTAGCACGATTTTCATCATGGAAAAACCCTGGTTTTGCACTGCACAAAGGGGTTCGTATTATGGACTATTTAGAAGAATTGAGGCTGAAAACCAAGCCATGTGAATATTTAGCATGATTATCAATCACCAATGAATTCTACATCAACGTCAAATTGCTAAGAAATGCAATATCATCAAATTGATTTGAAGCATTCACTTAAATTACTGACTAGTCTTCAGTTACCAAATGGTTATCCACTAACTACCAATTGAAATTATTTTCATCGAAAAATAAAATCAACGTGTTTCTAGATTGTGTATTTTTTTTCTTCTCAATTTGCTTGAGTGACAATTATTTTATGGAAAAGAGAGAAAAAAATATATAGTTCACACTGTCTGCAAAGAGAGAGTCGTGTGTCAAGAAGCTAATGACCTGCCAGTAATAACAACATTGAAGTACTGAAGCCAATCAAAATTGGTAGCAGAGCAGCTATTCATGGTTTTCTGCCCACAGAGGAAGTTCATTACAATGTTTGTATAGTCCCATAAGCTGCACCAAATTCAATAGAGTTATTCAGACATTTGTTTAAACATGGATATTGTATAACAGCTTCAGTCCATCACAAACATATTACAATATAAATAGAGAAGGTTTTTGAAAATTTCAGTACATTTTCAATGCAAAGAAAGGGAACTATACTGGAAGGCCAAGGCAAAAGTCTAAGGAAGAAGAATTAAAATATGATTATTGAACGTCAACTCCTCACATCATATTTTAGAGAGACTGATGTTGTCACTAAGAACATAAATTTTCAAAGGGGAATGCAGTAATATATATGAAAGCCTAAAAGAAGATATTTGCCAATATCATTTATTTTTCATTTTAATCGGCTACTGTTTGACAACCATTATTTCAAAACTTTTTATTCTACATACTCATCTTCAACCACACATTCACATAATAAAATATTTTGCACGTCAACCCAAAACTTTTCCCCACTTTTTAACCACGCATTCTCCAAAAATTCACTATTCAAAACTTTGTTTTTGCCAAATAATGGCCATCAAACAGGGCTCAATCCAAGGACAAAAAGTACTTGAGGTCTTTCAATCTTCTGAGAGGCAAGAAAATAGCAATGTGACAACAGACATTGACTCCAAAACACTATGCATGTATATCAAAACTATTGACTTTCCACAGGTACGAAGGGACTTAAAGCCCTTAATTTTCTTCAGGACATATCAGGTAGCATCAATTGATGCAATCTTCAGCTGCCACCAAGAAAGAAACTAGAGAAGATTATTCCATTTTTCTGATTTTCCCAGAGAAAAAGGGTATAACTCACCCTTGGTAGCAAATGTTGCAAATAATCAATCTTCTTTCAATTCAACTTTACTCAATCATCAGTCAAAATCATGGATGGATCACACATATTATCTTCAACCAACTTTGCATAAAAAAGGCTACCTGTTTGTCACCAGAAATGTAGCGCGGCCAGATTCTTTAATCATTTCTATCATGGGAACAATTGAGGTATCCTCATTGATATATCTGATACAATAATGGAAAAGTTATGATACATCAGTTTGAAATTTTTGGCATTGGTGTTAAAATAACTGGAAACTAGTTACTGCATTTTGAAGGAAATTACAGATACCTTCTAGGATCTTTTGCAACCATCTGCTTTAAAGTACCATCACGGTGGCACAAATCCACTGCTGCTCGAACATCGTTGTACATTCGAGAGTAGCTGCAACACCATTAGAGAAAAAACATGACACCAATTAAAAGTGGGATAATTAGGAAAGAAAATTCAAGGATTAAGTTAGAACATATGTTTGTATTCAGAATAACAAAATTTCTTTTAAATTGATAGTAGCTTCTTTCCAACAAACTTCTGAATCCAGATTGTTCAAATCATTTATTTGCAAAAATGGTACTAAAAACACCAGAAAAAGGTTCAACATTAAGAATCAACCACACAAAGTGCAGAACTGAAAGATATACAATCCATGTTTTGTATTATGCTTTTATCTATAACGTGGAAGGATTGTCAATGGTTTCAAGCCTGTTTTTCTTGAGCGAGTTCACAAAAATATACTTAAAGGTATTTTTTAGCTGTTAGACCAATTATTACCTCACCATGTAATAGAGAGAAGAAAATTAATTACAGTAAACCAACGTATTAAAGAATTGATAATTCTCTTACTCAGCCGAAATTTTGCCTGGATTATTATCCTTAAAGTCAACAAGCTGAGCAAATAAATAAGCTTCAGCCAGAGAGAAAAGGGTATCGATGAGAGCATAGTCAGGTTCATCAAATGAGTCACGTGTCAAAGTACTTCGATATGTAGCAACTTTATCTTCCTTCGACATCTCTCTAAATCCATGATAAGCTACTTTGACATACTTGTGTCGGTCCATCTATGAATCATACAACCAACACGATTAAATTTACAAGTTAAATCCAATCAAAGAACAAAGAACAAAGAACTGGAAGATTTAGTTACGATATACAACAGCACAAACCTTCAATATATTGCCTCTCTTTTTATCAAGAACTAATCCTCTGACCATGTATTTCCAATCAAATGTCCAATCCAACAACTACACAAGGCCAGACAAGTTAATAAGCTATTAATTTCAAATAATAATAAAAATTAAACGAACAATTAGCACAGAGCAAATATAAGCAGTCTGTATGAATCTCCAACCTTGTGAAGCATTAAGTTCTTTTATATTTTCGGTTCATTTCTTTCTTTTTTTCCCCTTTCCTTTTTCTTTTGAGTCGGATTCATATTTCACAGTGTAGAAAGATTCAACAAGGACAAATTGATTCAATTACTGACTTCATCTGTAGACAATCATCATTAGCTTAAACTTCCTGAAATACTAATGGCTTTCATTCCTTGAAAAGCTGCTTCTTGCTAAGATAAAAGTACTGACCAAAATGTAGACAAACCTCTGAAGGGTACTGCAAATCATAAACCAGCTTTCTAATCGTGCCTTCGTATGCAAGTGATTCAAAAGTCTCAGGTTTATACTGAGCCAAAGTGTAATCCATATCAAATCCAACAGCAACGATGTTCTTCATGTTCAAAGACCTATTACAGAATATCTGCTTTCCAATATCAATCTTCCGTCCTCCTTCAGGAGACGACCATATACAGGAACCCTGGCCAAGATCACTGCAATTGGTTCCCTTAAGTTGCAATGTTTTTCCATCTACACCCATGGCATCCATCGTAATACTGGAATGAAGTTGGTTATTACCTGATGACGACAAACAAAAAATGGATGCTATGTAAGTAGTTTTAAAGTTATGTCACACCAGTTTGTGAACTCAAATCGCCTTATCTCCACAACATGAAAAACAAATCTGTCCAAAACTAGCAAATAGAGTGGTTATCCAGAACTATATGAACGAAGTGACTGGCACACTTGCTAGCATGATTGTATCAAGAGCATGTATGGCTAATCTTAAAATGTGCTTTTCCTAAGTATGTCAACCGCAGTTTACTGGGCATATATGTTGCGCAATTTTTCTGCATTCTTACTGCAGATGTTGAAGGAAAGTTTATATTCAAGTTGATCACCAGCCATAAACAATTTATGGCATGTTTGGTAAGGTGGACCGAAGACCATTGGACAGATTAAAGAAGAAAAAGAAAGTTAAATCTCGTTTAAGGTATCTTCCTGGTCATGTCCAATGCTGAATACCAAATGTGCTCATACTATATATCAACAAGCATGGAAACAGCACAAAATTTTGAATACAATGAACGCCTCTATAAAATATCAGATAAAGATCTTTTCTTCATCAAAAACTTTGCACATGCAATGATTTATCAAAATGGTCATACATTCTAGTTTTGAACTGTGAATAATAAAACATATTTAACCTAAATGCAACAAGCCTGCAATTGTGTACCAAAATGCATGCCAAATTAATGGTTTAAGCTTTTAATATAGGATAAACTAAATTATCCGCAAACATGAAAGATTAAAGATCACGCTGAGGGGATGCTGGGGGACAACACACGTAAAATCAATAAAGCAAAGAGTTTGTGCTGAGTAAGTGAGAAACTCTGATGTTAAGTGTCCCTATATGGAGCTTATAAGAGCCTGTATCTGCTCAATCTTTACTTCGTACGTAAATTTGAGCAATAAACTCTACTCTAAATCATAAGTATTTCCAGATTATTTTCTCCTAATATTGCCCCAACAATAAGTAAACTTCAATCCGAGCCATCAAATCTTGGCAATTTCACATTCAATAATTCTATTTAATAATAACATACAAAAATGAGTGGTGAAACAAGACGGAACTTATCTAGTTATCACTATTAAGAAACCAATTGTTGGTTATTAAGAAAAAAGCACCAAAAATTAATCAAATCAAACACAACGGTAAAGTTCACCAAAAATAAAGAGTAAAGGACTCCTTCCAGCACCATATCAGCTTACATTCGGTAATCATTGTATGTGAACCCACTGGCACCATGTTATGTTCCAACATCTAATCTTATACTCGAGGGATGATACAGACTTCTTGACTCATATCGAATTCATACCCTGATACGCAACATCTTCTTACTCCCATTACTAAAACAACACCATCCTCATATTCACGAACACTATTTCACTCTATATTCTACAGCATAAAAACTGATGGAGTCATGCAAAATTAATGTAATAACTATGATAGTGAAACCTGGACATCAATGCATTCCATCATAAATGACATTCAAAAATAAGGCATAATGGTTTCAAATTGGAAGTTAAACAATTAAGTCAGGCAAATTAAGACATGGTGTGTTTGCTGAAGTGGATTGGACAGTAATCAATGGACACTATAATTGTACTGTTAAAACTTAAAGGATTGTGCTATATGTACACTCCATGGTTTACACAATTCTTTACCCCCCTCTCACATAGAGGGGGGCCCACAAATATTTTATTGTGTGGGGCCCCTCCCATGTGAGAGAGGTGTAAAGAATTGTGTAAAGGATTATGTACATTTAGCATAATCCAAACTTAAAAGCACTAAATCAATACTTCCCACCATACCTGACAACACAAAACAGAAAATTAAGTTTCTGCAATTACAAAACATTAAAAATAGGCATGGCAGTTAAAAATCAACCTAAGAAAGCAAAAAAAAAATTCCAAAATTGAAAACAAAAATGTGATTTATAATAGGTATTAACAATGCATGTTGCAGATAAATCAAGAAAGATAACATGCAAAGTAAAATTTCACAAAATAGTTAAAAAAAATCTTCTCTCTCCATTCAGATTCAGAAAAATCAAGAGAAAGGGTAAAAAGAATAACAACAAACACGTTCGTGATTGATCTAGCTAACAACGAACCTTTGCAATGATTCACTTTCCTCCTACTCGGAAATTGACCCGAAAGAGAAAAAATGCCGGAATTGAATAAAATTCTCGAAGAGAACGAAAAAGGAAACGAAAAGGTCTCAAGAATGGGATTGGGATTTGGAGAAGGAAATAGAGAAACGCAAAATGAAAATGAGCGCCCTTTGGGGATACGCATTCTGGATTTATATAGCCATTTTGGGATGTGAGAAATTTTAATAAAATCCTTCAAATTCCAAAGGAATGTAGAATCCGGTACCCGTATAGATACTGAATGCATTTAATAGTTTCACCTACAATTATTGTTGTTTTTCATTCTTAGCAAAAAAATTAAACTTTGACTCCCCATTTGGCAACTAGGAAACGAATACCTCCAACAACTGGAAAAAAAGGAGATTGCCACGTGGAGGCGGCGATAACTTGCAATACGGAGGTGGCAGAGTCAATGAATTTTGTTTAATCTTATAAGGTTCTGAAGGGTAACGGTAAAACTGGTAGCGGAATGGGGAAGAAGAGTGAAGAGGACGCAGGGCGTATTTTAGCAAATGGCGCAGTTGATGGGAAATTTGTATATATTTTTTTTTTTAATTCTATTTTTTGCGGCAATTATTTTTTCGTCCATTGCTATCCCACTTTTTCTATAAATTAGGTGTAAGCAACGTGCAATGCACGTTTGCCTAGTTTATATTTAATGGCTTTATTTAAGAATTAATTTGTTATTAATAAAGATGTAATTTTTTTGGTTAATTAAATAATTAATGATGTAATGTTTATGTATTTGATAAGTAATAAGATCTGTGATTTTGATGTGGTGATGTAAGTTGGTGAGACCGATAAAAAGTGATCGAATTGGAAAATGATGTCTAAATCAAAGTTGTAGCCAGATGAGTTAACTTTCCAACGCATTTTGAATCGCCTCAATCGGATATCAGAATACAAAGTTATGATAAAAACACTGATAGAAAGTGCAGCTGCCTGTTTAAAACAAGAAATTCCGTTACATAGTCCGTTAAAACAGCAAATTCCGTTAGTTTTTCCGTTAAAAATAAGAAATTCCGTTATATAGCCACTTTTAATATATAGAAGATTATATACTTGTGGATTAATTTGGTGCAAATTTTTAATTACAATTGTTAATTGAACTTATTTCTAAATTTAAATTTAGTCAATTCTAATAATATTTTTCATTTTACGCTTGATGAGTTAGCTTTCCAACGCATTTTGAATCGTCTCAATCGGATATCAGAATACAAAGTTATGATAAAAAACACTGAAAGAAGGTGCAGTTGCCTGTTTAAAACAAGAAATTCCGTTACATAGTCCGTTAAAACAGCAAATTCCGTTAGTTTTTCCGTTAAAAATAAGAAATTCCGTTATATAGCACTTTTAATATATAGAAGATTATATACTTGTGGATTAATTTGGTGCAAATTTTTAATTACAATTGTTAATTGAACTTATTTCTAAATTTAAATTTAGTCAATTCTAATAATATTTTTCATTTTACGCTCTTTCATTTGTAATAGCACTGGTCTCAAACCTTTCGATCTGGTGCAGCGGAAGGATCTGTGAATGGATTCCTTTCTTTCGAGTTTCGATCAATCTGCAACAAGAAGCAATTATCAATTTTTACCTCATCTATTATGCGGTTTAGGTTTATGTCATCATGAGGTCGATCGTAGATGTTGTTCCAACTGAATTAGGCTATGAATGGCTACAATTTGAACAAGAGATTTATGGTATTAAACTGCTGCAATAAGAGAGATTAAGGTACCCATAATGATCAATAATGTCGAATGCCGAATTATTTCTTTTTCTTCTTATGCTTTAATTGTTATTTTGTTAATTCAATTATAACTATAATGTGATTCACAGTTAATCACATTGATGCTTAGGGGTGTATCTAATACGACTGGTTGGTGGCTCTGTAGTTTTGTTTTTCTGTTGTTGTATATATTGGTGTCAACAACACGATCTGAGCATCATTAAGCCAACATGTAATAGAAGTAAGGACACCCTCTCAATCATGGATCAGGTCGATCCTAACAAGGACCCGGAGTATAAATTAGACTGTGCGGTCAACAATTGTCTAATTTTTAGGTGACTTGTGTCGAACACTAGAGAATAATATTATCTGTCACGAATGATGATATCATCAATATTGGTGGCAATATATTACCGTCATTTGATGATGGACCTAGATTGTATATAGTTCGTTGAGATTGAGAAGAGTATAGATAATTGTTTATAAATTTCTTCTTCTCCAAGCAATTAGATTGAAGCATGTGGTTATGTTTGATTTTGCTATTAATTAAGAATCATGTTGTTATGTTTGATTTTGCCGACTCTATATCGCTTTCATTAAATTGCAAGTCTCACCTACCTTGTTAAATGTAATATTTTTGGATAAGGTCTCATTGTTCTTGATCCAATAGTCTACACCCCACCTCACCTTATCCTACCCTACGCTACCCTACCCTACCTTACCTTATTCTATCCTACCCTACTATACCCTCATCCATTAAAAAAGAAAAGAGATTATAGCCCCTATTTGAGACCCATTATTCTCAAAGTTCATTTTTAAACGCTCATTTTCAACCACACACTCCTATTAAATAATTTTATGCGCAAACTCAAAATTTTCTTATTTTTCAACCACACACTCTACAACTTTTTACTATTCCAAAATACGTTTTCTTGGTAAAATGGAGCCCAAATAGGGACTGTATAAATAGAAATACATTTTTATTTTTAATTTTTTGTTCTTGTTAGTGTCATCGACAATATTAATGAATAATTGATAGTCTTTAATTCAGAACAACAAGATGAAATTTATGATGATACTAGTTCGTGTTAAATTATGAAACGACTTGAAAACAAAGAGACGTACTACAAATAAACTTGGACTATATACAAGAAAAGCTTATTTCTAAAACCTAACCATCTTTTTTTCTCAAAAGGGCCCTCATGACTTTTATTTATTTATGCGTACCAATAAATTTGGATATATGGTTTGTCTTAGAATATTCAACCGCACCAAATAAAGAATTTTAAGTTTTTTAGCCAAAAAAAAAAAAGAAATTAATTCCTTATAAGTCCCTTCCAAGATTTCTCCTAAGAGAAGCATTATAAATTTACGAATGATAAGTGGCTAACCTTCACAATCAGTGTCTAGTTGGGAATAGATTGTATTTGATTGGGATCAAAGACAATCAATTACCATTTGAGCTAAATAGCTTTTTATAGGAGGTGCACGGTTTAAAATCGACTAGCAAAGACATGATTATTAAGTAATTTTAAGTTTTCAACCGTCACATTTTACTCTCCTGTCACGAGCAGCCAAAATTTTCAACTAACTTTACCAAGAATTTCTAGTAAACATCATTTGGTGTTGGAACTTCGAACTAGATATATTTGATTGCAATTGAGATGGACAAGTTCACGGTTCAAAAACCATCCCCTACCATCTAAGTCTCAATCAGATCAAGGATCGTAATCAAAATTTTCCTTCCTTATCAATAAAATAAAGTTACTGGGGTCACGATATAATTTTGGTCCAAAAGAATTGGGTGGGGGAGGAGATCAAAAGCTCCCTGCTTTTGGATAAACACCGAGTGATTTTCTTGGAATCTTTTAATTCAACGGTGCTACATTTTTACTTAAATCAGTGTATTAAGTAACAATTTCACAAAAGTTTAGTCAATATTTGCAATGATAATGAGCTTTACAGAAGCAACAAAATAGCAAGATCTTATTTATTTATTTATTATAAATCTCGAAATTTGTAAGATTTTTGTCATCACTCTAAATGAGTTTTTTCACACTTTTTTCTCCTTTTCTGTGCGTCTCGTTTATCGAGTAGGCTGGCTAGGGTGACATGTGTATTTTCTGTATACTGCCGGCAATCTTGTAGGCATCGTTAGCTTCCTTCTCTTCTTGATCAGATACTCTTGTATATACTGCATGAGCTCGATTAAAAGTCCACTTCTAAGAAGAAGAAAAAAAGTAAGATGAAATGATGAAAAATAGCTTGGAGTTTGTGTTTATGGAACTTTTGGTATGTTTCTTGATTTCTCAAGAAACCCACAATTTCCACTCTTTTATCCATTGCTTTATTCATCTGTGGTAAAAAAAAATGTTTCTTTCTTATGGATTCTGATATGGGTTTCACTTATTTTAGTTAATTAGCTTTTTTACTTCTCTGTATAATTAGATTTATAAGATTTCTTGATTGAATGTGTTTTACTGGATTCATGGAATTACTTTTTTTCCCCTTAATTTTGTTGGTATGGTCAAAATATTATACTGGTAGTTATGTTTGTCTCCTCTTTTCCCCCTAATAAGGATTTCAGTTCTATAGATCGGAATTTTTTGCTACTGGTAATTTTCATTGATATCTTTGTCATTATTTAAGTTTGTATTTCTCTGAGAGGTATTGATCATAAATTTGTGCTTTTATATTTTTTTGGTTTAACTATTTGGAGACCTTTTATACGAATTCTGTCATTTCGCTGATTTGTACTAAATAAAGAGCTAATATGTCCGTTGGGAAGTTTGTGAAAAATTCCTAGAAAAGTTTCGTTAACACCTATTTAGTTTGTCTGCAATATGTTATTGATTCCCACAATAATTTGCTTTTATTAATGTTGATAGTGTAACAGGGTGTCCAGGGATTTGAATATTGCATTCGGCTGGTTCTATTGATGTTCTTGAAGGGGTTTGGTCCAAAATAAGTTCAAGAAAGATGGAGAATTCTTACGAAACGCATAGCAATGGACATGTGAAAGATCCTGGCCTAATTAACCGGCATCCCTCGTCCTCGAGCAAGTTTTCGTTGCCTTGGTTTGATATACGAGTGTTCTATGTTAGAATCAGTAATTTCAGTGTTGATGATTCGACCCCAGAATTTCTCACTCTTAATCATTTCCCTTTGATCCCGGACACTCTCCTTGAAGTGAATGGTGTAAGATGTTCGATTGAGTCGGAAGGAGTTTCTTGCCTTCTTCGAAGGGATAGGATAGATAAGAAATCTGAAGAGGCTACATTTGTTAGCACAGATAGTACACGATTAAAAGGCAGTGCAAGGTTTGAAGTTTTTAATGAAAAGGAGCTCATGCTTTCTGGGATTTTGGAAATGTCTGCCAATAGTCCTATCAAGGAATCAAACAATTTGGCTCG